GGCCGACACAGATCATTTATCTTCCGATCATCGCACGGAGCATTACGAATCTAACGATACGCATCGTCGATCAAAACGGGCGGTTGCTCGATTTTCGCGGAGAAGAGATCACCGTCAGATTGCACGTGCGACGGCGACAGCGATAACGCACGCGCGTGAGATGCTCGTGTCGAACCAGCAGATAGATAACGTATCCTTCGCGCCGCTCGACAGTACTCGCTCATCCGAACGCATCGAAAAGAAGAACAAGAGGCTCAGTGCATCGAACGTTGAGTTTTTAAAATCTCTGGGATTCGCGGTGCACAACTTTTGAAAAAGATGACCGACATTCTAAACGTCAAGGACGAGCCAGTCTTCGACGATCGCATCGTCAAGATCGAGACTCACACGTACAACCCGTTCGCCAACACGACGTTTGGACACAGCGATGAGATACGAATACCAATACAACAACAAGATCTGTACACGCTGCCGTATGAAAGTTTTCTGTACATCGAAGGAAAATTGGCAAAGACCAAAGTGGTACCGAACGCCGACGTGGCACTGGGAAATAATTGCGTCGCTTTCATGTTCGATGAGATTCGCTACGAACTCAACGGCGTGGAGATTGATCGCAACAGAAACGTGGGAGTAACTAGCACGCTCAAAAACTACGTGACGGTGTCATCCGACAAAAGCGTGATTCTGCGAAACGCTGGCTGGGATCCGCAGACAGAGGATGATGGATACTTTAATTTCTGCGTACTGCTCAACGTACTACTGGGATTCTGCGAGGATTACAGACGCGTGGTGATCAACGCTCGTCACGAGTTGATTCTGATACGAGCGCGCAACGACGTGAATTGTCTGTTGGGAAATTGGACGGTGGAGCCGAAGCTTGAACTGTTCAAGATTCAATGGCGAATGCCGCACGTGGTATTGAGCGAGATAAATAAGCTGTCGATGCTACGGGCCTTGGAGAGTGGACGATACCTGAGCATGCCTTTTCGCTCGTGGGATCTGTACGAGTACCCGCTTTTACCGAATACGACGAAGCATTCCTGGGCTATGAAAACTGCGACTCAGCTGGAAAAACCGCGATACGTCATCTTTGCTCTGCAAACGGATCGAAAGAAGATGTCCGAGGATACGAGCCGATTCGACGACTGTAAATTGACCAACGTGAAACTCTACCTGAACTCGGAATGTTATCCGTACGACGACTTGAATCTGGATTTCACTAAAAACAAATGGGCGATTCTGTACGACATGTACGCGCGTTTCTGCAAGGGTTACTACGGATACGAGTATCTCGAACCGAATCTCACCGTTACGACTTTTTTAACGAACGGTCCGTTCGTAATCATCGATTGCTCTCGACAGAACGAATCGGTCAAGAGCGCGACCGTGGACGTGCGAATGGAATTTGAGTTCAAGGAGAACGTACCCGCGAATACTACCGCGTACTGTCTCATCATACACGATCGCGTGGTCGAGTATAACCCGCTGACCAACGTTGTGCGCAAAATCATCTAAGCGCGCGATATAAAAATCTACGATACGTCGACATCGTTCGCAGTCTTCTTCATCTCGATGACATGCGTGTACGAGCAGCGATGGAATATCTACAAATTGCTGCGGAACGAGTACAAGGACAATTTTATAAACGTTGGACCGCTAACGATCAGAATCTGCACGCATAACGACGTTACGCTCGTACGACTCGAATCTTCGACCGTACACATGACGATGATCGAATCAACGCTGCGCCGAATGTTCGATCTCGACGGATGCATCGACGTAACGTTCGAACGATTAGCCCGACTCGTTGATACGGTCGATGTCAAGTATACGCGCTTCTCCAACGTCGCGAACGCTATACGCAAGAACGATATCTTTGACAAACGCCAGCTCGTTGATTGCGAGCTCTTGGCTTTAGTTTTTAATACGTAAGAAAAAATTACTGTATAAAAAAAATTACTATGTAAAAAAAATATACGAATATATATTCTTTGTATCCATTATTTTATTCGTACTTTCTTTACTCTCCTACCGAAAAGACGAATGTGTGTTCGATGAATCCTATGCCTCTACGCGCTATCGCTCTGTTTACACAAACAGCTCTACTTACCGCAAAGCCTCTTCAAGTGTCAGATCATTTTTCACCAAATTAATTGCCTATGGGCCAATCATAGGCTTGGCTCTAGCGAAGAATGCTTTTCAGCGTCAGTATTCCTTTGTCTCACGGACGGTTGACGTCTGTTTCGACTCCGCAGTTCATTTTCAGTTCATTGTCAATTTGCATCGCATCTTCGTTTTAATATTTTTTATACGGTTTACAGTAAACAGTGATCTGACCGTGTCAACCTCCAAAAATATTTAATTATTTGGAGGCGACAACTGTTATAACTATAAGCAAGGAATACTAAGTGCGCTTGTTACTAAGTGCGTGTGTGAGTGCGCGCTTGTGAAAAAGAAATATGCGTCTACTAGAGCCGCTTAAAAAACAACTTTTTGGGGAGGAAGAGGAGGATTTTACTCCTCAAGAGGAGGAGGTGATAGAGGCAGAGGTGGAGGTGGAGAACGAGGAGGAAGAGGAGGATAACGACACCAACGACGGGGAGGAGAACGTCGACGAGAACATCGAAGGGGAGAATAACGAGGAGGAAGATCCTCCCCCCATCCCGATTGACCTAGATCAGGTCGACCCCGACGACCTCATCCGCTTTGGCCTGCATCTCATGCAGGTGGACGACGAGGCGGAGCTATTCTACCTCCTCGTCAACCTGTATGAGGAGGAGGAGGCGGCTGAATTGGAGGAGGTTGATTAAATCAACCGGGGGAGTGTGCCGCAGTAAGTAAAAAATTATTTATCTACTTATTCTTCTTCTTCTTCCTTCACCTCCCTGTCTCATTTGAACGCGATTATTTATGTTTTCTTTCGTTCGCTTTTTGCAATAGACATCCTGGCAGATACAGAAGTACGAACTACGAACGATAGAGAGTGTGTTCGACGGAAGCTTGCTCGTGATTGGTCGAGATATAAAGCGCGTTTTACATAGGTGCGTTCGTGCGAAATAAGTAACTATTGCTAAACGAAATATTACGATTACGATTTACAGAAAAACATATTCATACATAACATAAATATTTAAAAATTTAAAATTAAAAATTAATAAGAAGGCTCTATATGTATAAAACAATATAAAAATGTAACCAGGGCGTAGAGCCAATTTAATCTAACAAATTATTTTAATTCATATATTAATACAATAATACAAATTCAGACGTTTCGACACCGATCGAGTCATTTTCAATGATACAACAATCTACATTAAAATTAAACTATCGTTATACAATCTTCATAATACTAAAAAATCATAGATTCCGTGTATACATTTTGAACTTGGACTTCATATGTGTTTTTTTATCTTTGATTCTGATAAAAATATAAAATTTAACATTGTTTAAAAAATTCAAATACTAAATGTCTTATTAACCTTGTCACAAAATATTAAAATCTAATACAAATATAAAAGTCATATATACCTTGTCAAAAATAAAATAAAAATTGTGATAAATCCATGTGTACAAGTAATCCTGCGTCAATTTATTATAAAATATGTTAGGTGTAATAAAATAAGATACTTTGCAGCTGTCAAAAACACGTATCAATGCTAAAGAAGATAAAATAATGTCGTTGGAATAGAAAGTCAAAGGATATAATAATAAAAATAACAAGGAAAGACAGATTTAAGACGAAGATAGGGAATGTATCATATTGGTGTACATTTCTGGCAATGACTCTGTGTCATTTTGTCTGTTTATACCGTGTGTCTGTTTTTTAATGTGTACCATTTCAGATATTAATCTCTTTTTATACGAAGGTTCGATATCTAAAATTTCAACATTATCCCATTTAAAATTATGATTTAACTTTAATCTATGTTCTGTTATTACAGAAGGAGATTTTGATACTTTATTAATATCTGAAACATGTTCTTTTAGTCTCATTTTTAATTGTCTTTTAGTTTGTCCAACATAACTAGCAAATATTTAAAACTATAAAGTCATCTCTCTGACGTTGGATAGTTAGATTTATTTAATAACCTTTATGATGATTTAATAGCACAAATACATATAATTGATAATATTTTTTATAGATATAATATGATCCATGAAAAAACACGAAGAATCGTCGAAAGAACCTTTGGAATATGGAAACGTAGATTCCCTTGTTTATCAAAACTTTTATTAAAAAATTAAGATATAGATGTGTAGATTAATACCAAATGATACGTTCGAATTTGAAATTGTTTGCTGACAAATAAGCACGTCAATGTCTTGGGACCGACTGATCCAAGGTCTTCGATTGTTATAGCATGCGCTGTTCTTCACAATCTCTCGCTAATATATAATAATATTATGGAAGAAGAAGAAGAAGTAGAAAATATAAATCAAAATGACGAAGTTCCGCCACTTCCACCTCACTGGCAACCAGGGGACGGTTTCCTTGTGCGAAATGCTGTTATTGAACGATTGTTCAGATGAAAAATTCGACTCTAACAAGTTTTATTTTTTTGCGAAATGTATTAATATATACACAACATACACACACACACACATGTATGTATATATGTATGTATGTATGTATGACTAATTGACTTTAATTGACTGGCGTACACAAACATTTGGTACCTTTTAATTATAATGTATAGCTTTTAATGTACTAAAGAAGTTAAATGTAATGCTGCCTGAAATAAATTAAATAAAACATGTATAAAGTATAAATACAATTTATTGTATTATTTAAAGCGTAATTTATTTTTGTACATCTTAAACATAATATCACTTTTGAATAAGAAACAGAATATTACATAATATTATATTATTACAATGTTATATCCAAATATATGTTATTGTTGAATCATTTCATCACAGAACATAAACAAAAATTACATTAGTAACATATCAGTAAATAATAATATTTAGAGCAAAATAAACTTAAACAAAGGAAAATAAAAATAAAATAAAACATAATATCTGTACATAGTTGTACTTTTTACGCGCAATTAACCAATGCAGGAAGCACAGCCTTTTGCATAACGCATGATGCATAGTGAGTCCACAACCTTGCTTTAAAAGGGCTTAAGTTATAAGTCGAAAGAGATTAAATGACAATAATTTCTGTCTGTTTTTGCGTACGCTTTAACCTTTAGACTTAAACAAATTGAGCAAAACTTAATTCTTATAGTCTAAAAGCAAGGTTGTGAACCGAGTCTTATCGTCACTTACAATTTACAGCTTACGGCTGATGGCCTCTTGAAACAATTTTGTGAACTTAGCCTAAGAAAATAAACGTGCCAGAGTTTTTCATTTTTGTCTCCTAGGTAGAAATGAAGGACACTCTGATTGGTTTAGGTATGATCAGGCCCTAATATTCTGACTAAAGGTACAATTTCATGCTGACGCTTGACGCTAAAAATGAGCGTCTAGCGTCAGCATGAAATTGTACCTTAACAGTCTTCTCTTATAACAGTAAAATTTATTTTTTAATGGGTAAATTTATATTTTCCTTATCCACAATTCGATACTTCTTAACTCTGATTTCTTTATTTCTATTTCTAATTTTTGTAAAACTTTTAAATGGTTTAATTGCATGTCGTTAAACAATTTTAAATGCTCCTCTTTCATAAGTACTACTTTTTCTTCGTGTTTTAACTTAATGTCTGCTAATGCTTCTTCTTGTCTTATAATGTTATGTAGTCTTTGTATTCGTAATTCTTCTTCTACATTTGATACTTCCAGTAAACCTTTCTTTTTCGTTTCAAAATATGTGGTTTCTTTTTATCATCATTTAAATGTATTTTTGGCATATCTAAACTGTGTGATGTCATCAGTTTTTCTTTACAGCCTCCTACAATAGTAAATGTGTTTACAAAATATAAAGAGATGGTATTATAATTACATTTTGTACTTGCCATAGTCAAAGAAATACGTTTTAATTAAGAGATAAATATGTAATACAAATAATATAAAATAATACCTGGCGAAGCAGTAGTACTTTCTACATCACTTATGTTTATCACATGTTCTGTATTAGATAATTCTTCTACACCTTCGTCAGTACATATAAGATCGAACACCAAGTCACGTTTATCTAAAATACATGAAATAATAAAAGTTCATGTTTTCATGTTTATCAAATGCGCATGCAGCTAGACCGAGATGGCTTAGCATTAACATTAACGTATTGCACATATGACAATGTCTTACTTTCAGCGATCTGTAGTATAAAAGTTACAAAATATTCTCTCGAAAATTATGCTCCAAAATCTTAACAGTTATAAGTCTAAAAGTCTAACAGTTAATTTATAAATATACGAGTATAATATACCTTCAATTTCAGTTTCTGTATTATCATATTAGATGAAAATATTACTGGTGCGGTGTGTGTGTTTTCATCAAATGGGGTGCGATATTGGCAATATCGGGATCGACTTCTATTTTTGTCTCCTGTGGTTCTCCACCAGTTGCCATAAGTGACTGTTTCTCCTTTGTTAATGCTTCTCGTTGATATTGCTTCAGATTTGCCCATAATTTCTTTAATTGCTGAACAGTTCTCTATTATCAAAATTATTTATAGAACTATTTGATTTCATATAAGATATATTACACTAAAATTAAAAAATAGCTAATATGAAAAAAGCTTATTTAAGATAAATGAACTACAATCACGATACTTTTAAATATAAATAAAAATATTGCAAATTAAATAATGCAAATAATGAAAAAATGTTAATGCTAATTAGTAAACCAATACTTAAACTTGAAACAACCTAATTTCCGCGCGGATCAGCTCGTCGTAAATTTCGCTAGTCGCGAAAAAGGTTCGCACGGGAAGAGAGAATGCAGAAACTAATAATTAGACAGTAATTTAAGACAAGAGACAGAAACGTTTATTGCGTGTATCGTGTATATTTACAAATGTGTGTGTGTGTGTGTGTGTGTGTGTGTGTGTGTGTGTGTGTGTGTGTGTGTGTGTGTGTGTGTGTGTGTGTGTGTGTGTGTGTGTGTGTGTGTGTGTGTGTGTGTG